TAATTATAAATAAGATTTTAAAAATTATTATACTTTAAGTTCTGGGATACATGGGCAGGACATAGAGGTTTGTTACATAGTTATACATGTGACATGATGGTTTGCTGCAACCATCACCTCGTCATCCACATTAGGTATTTCTCCTAATGTTATCCAGTAATGGGATTGCTGGGTCAAATGGTATTTCTAGTTCTAGATCCTTGAGGAATTGCCACACTGTCTTCCACAGTGGCTGAACTAATTTACACTCCCACCAGCAGTGTAAAAGCATTCCTATTTCTCCACACCCTCACCAGCATGTGGTTTCCTGACTTTTTAATGATCACCATTCTAACTGGCATGAGATGGTATCACATTGTGGTTTTGATTTGCATTTCCCTCATGACTGGTGATGATGAGCATTTTTTCATATGTTTGTTGGGCACATAAATGACTCCTTTTGTGAAGTGTATGTTCATATCCTTCACTCACTTTTTGATGGGGTTGTTTGTTTTATTTTATTGTAAATTTGTTTGAGTTCTTTGTAGATTCTGGATATTTGTCCTTTGTCAGATGGAGAGCTTGCAAAAATTTTCTCCTATTGTGTAGGTTGTCTGTTCACTCTGATGATAGTTTCTTTTTCTGTGCAGAAGCACTTTAGTTTAATTAGATCCCATTTGTCTATTTTGACTTTTGTTGCCATTGCTTTTAGTGTTTTAGTCATGAAGTCTTTGCCCATACATCTGTCCTGAAGGGTATTGCTTAGGTTTTCTTCTAGGGTTTTATGGTTTAGGTCTTCCGTTTAAATCTTTAATCCATCTTGAGTTAATTTTTTTAATAAGGTGTAAGGAAGGGATCCAGTTTCAGTTTTCTGCATATGGCTAAACAGTTTTCCCAACCCATTTATTAAATAGGGAATCCTTTCCCCATTGCTTATTTTTGTCAGTTTTGTCAAAGATCAGATGGTTGTCGATGTGTGGTGTTATTTCTGAGGCCTCCATTCTGTTCCATTGGTCTATATATCTGTTTTGATATAAGTACCATGCTGTTTGATTACTGTAGCCTTGTAGTATAGTTTGAAGTCAGGTAGCGTGATGCCTACAGCTTTGCTCTTTTTGCTTAGGATTGTCTTGGCTATGTGGGCTCTCTTTTGGTTCCATATGAAATTTTAAGTAGTTTTTTCCCCAATTTTGTGAGGAAAGTAAATGGTAGCTTGATGGGGATAGCATTGAATCTATAAATTACTTTGGGCAGTGTGGACATTTTCACGATATTGATTCTTCCTAACCAAGAGCATGGAATGTTTTTCCATCTGTTTGTGTCCTTTCTTATTTCCTTGAACAGTGGCTTGTAGTTCTCCTTGAAGAGGTCCTTCACATTCCATGTAAGTTGTATTCCTAGGTATTTTATTCTCTTTGTAGCAATTGTGAAGGGGAGTTCATTCATGATTTGGCTCTCTGTTTGTCTGTTATTGGTGCATAGGAATGCTTGTGATTTTTGCACTTGATTTTGTATTCTGAGACTTTGCTGAAGCTGCTTATCAGCTTAAGGAGATTTTGGGCTGAGGCGATGGGGTCTTCTAAATGTACAATCATGTCATCTGCAAATAGAGAAAATTTGGCTTCCTCTTTTCCTAACTGAATACGCTTTATTTCTTTCTCTTGCCTGATTACCCTGGTCAGAATTTCCAATACTATGTTGAATAGGAGTGGTGAGAGAGGGCAGTCTTCTTGTGCCGGTTTTCAGAGGGATTGCTTCCAGTTTTTGCCCATTCAGTATGATATTGGCTGTTGGCTTGTCATAAATAGCTCTTATTATTCTGAGATATGTTCCATCAATACCTAGTTTATTGAGAGTTTTTAGCATGAAGCGCTGTTGAATTTTTTCAAAGGCCTTCTCTGCATCTATTGAGATAATCATGTGGTTTTTGTCTTTGGTTCTGTTTATGTGATGGATTACGTTTATTGATTTGCATTTGTTGAACCAGCCTTGCATCTCAAAGATGAATCCGACTTAGTCGTGGTGAATAAGCTTTTTGATATGCTGCTGGATTCAGTTTGCCGGTATTTTATTGAGGATTTTTGCATCGATGTTCATCAGGGATATTGGCCTGAAATTTTTTTGTTGTTGTTGTGTCTCTGCCAGGTTTTGGTATCAGGATGATGCTGGCCTCATAAAATGAGTTAGGGAGGATTCCCTCTTTTTCTATTGTTTGGAATAGTTTCAGAAGGAATGGTACCATCTCTTCTCTGTACCTACGGTAAAATTCATCTGTGAAACTGTCTGGTCCTGGACTTTTTTGGTTAGTAGGCTACTAATTACTGCCTCAATTTCAGAACTTGTTATTGTTCTATTCAGGGATTTGACTTCTTCCTGGTTAGTCTTGGGAGAGAGTAAGTGTCCAGGAATTTTTCCGTTACTTCTAGGTTTTCTGTTTTATTATGTAGAGGTGTTTATAGTATTCTCTGACGGTAGCTTGTATTTCTGTGTTATTGGTGGTGATATCCTCTTTATAATTTTTTATTGCATCTATTTGATTCTTCTCTATTTTATTCTTTATTAGTCTGACTAGTGGTCTATCTATTTTGTGATCTTTGCAAAAAACCAGCTCGTGGATTCATTGATTTTTTGAAGGGTTTTTTTGTGGCTCTATCTCTTTCAGATCTGCTCTGATATTAGTTATTTCATGTTTTCTATTAGCTTTTGAATTTGTTTTCCCTTGCTTCTCTAGTTCTTTTAATTGTGACATAAGGGTGTCAATTTTAGATCTTTCCTGCTTTCTCTTTTGGGCATTTAGTGCCATAAATTTCCCTCTACACACTACTTTACATGTGTCCAAGAGATTCTGGCATGTTGTGTTTTTGTTCTTACTGGTTTCAAAGAACGTATTTATTTCTGCCTTCATTTCATTATTTAGCCAGTAGTCATTCAGGAGCAGGTTGTTCAGTTTTCATGTAGCTGTGTGTCTTTGAGTAAGTTTCTTAATTCTGAGTTCTAATGTGATTGTACTGTGGTCTGAGAGACTGTTTCTTATGATTTCCATTCTTTTGCATTTGCTGAGGAGTGTTTTACTTTCAATTATGTGGTCAGTTTTAGAATAAGTGCGATGTGGTGCTGAGAAGAATGTATATTCTGTTGGTTTGGGGTGGAGAGTTCTGTAGATGTCTATTAGGTACACTTGGTCCAGAGCTCAGTTCAAGGCCCGAATATCCTTGTTAATTTTCTGTCTTGTTGATCTGTCTAATATTGACAGTTGGGTGTTAAATTCTCCCACTATTATTGTGTGGGAATCTAAGTCTCTTTGTAGGTCTCTAAGAGCTTGCTTTATGAGTCTGGGTGCTCCTGTGTTGGGTGCATGTATATTTAGGATAGCTAGCTCTTCTTTGTTGCATTGATACTTTTACCATTATGTAATGCCCATCTTTGTCTCTTTTGATCTTTGTTGGTTTAAAGTCTGTTTTATTAGAGACTAGGATTGCAACCCCAGCTTTTTTTTTTTTTTTTTTTTTTTGCTTTCCATTTGCTTGGTAAATATTTCTGCATCCCTTTATTTTGAGCCAATGTGTGTCTTTGCACCTGAGATGGGTCTCCTGAATACAGCACACTGATGGGTCTCGACTATCCAATTTGCCAGTCTATGTCTTTTAATTGGGACATTTAGCTCATCTACATTTAAGGTTAATATTGTTATGTGTGAATTTGATCCTGCCATTATGATGCTAGCTGGTTATTTTGCCTGTTAGTTGATGCAGTTTCTTCATAGCATTGATGATCTTTATAGTTTGGTATGTTTTGGCAGTGGCTGGTACAGGTCGTTCTTTTTCATGTTTAGTCCTTCCTTCAGGAGCTCTTGTAAGGCAGGCCTGACAAAATCTCTCAGCATTTGCTTGTCTGTAAAGGATTTTATTTCTCCTTCACTTATGAAGCTTATTTGGGTTGGATATGAAATTCTGGGTTGAAAATTGTTTTCCTTAAGAATGTTAAATATCGGCCCCCACTCTCTTGTGGCTTGTAGGGTTTCTTCAGAGACATCCACTGTTAGTCTGATGGGTTTCCCTTTGTGGATAACCTGACCTTTCTCTCTGGCTGCCCTTAGCATTTTTTCCATCATTTGCACCTTGGTGGATCTGACAACTACATGTCTTGGGGTTGTTCTTCTTGAGGAGTACGTTTGTGGTGTTCTTGGTATTTCCTGAATTTGAATGTTGGCCTGTCTTGCTAGGCTGGAGAAGTTCTCCTGGAAAATATCCTGAAGAGTGTTTTCCAACTTGATTTCATTTTCCCATCACTTTCAGGTACACCGATCAAATGTAGATTTGGTCTTTTCATGTAATCTCATATTTCTTGGAAGCTTTGTTTGTTTCTTTTCATTCTTTTTTCTCTAATCTTGTCTTCTTGCTTTATTTCATTGAGTTGATCTTCAATCTCTGATATCTTTTTTCTGCTTGATCGATTTGGCTATTGAAACTTGTGTTTGCTTCACAAAGTTCTTGTGCTGTGTTTTTCAGCTTCATCAGGTCATTTATGTTCTTCTCTAAACTGGTTATTCTAGTTAGCAATCCATCTAACCTTTTTTCAAGGTTCTTAGCTTCCTTGCATTGGGTTAGAACATGCTCCTTTAGCTTGGAGCAGTTTGTTATTACCCACTTTCTGAAGCCTGCTTCTGTCAATTCATCAAATTCATTCCCTGTCCAGTTTTGTTCTTTTGCTGGAGAGGAGTTGTTTTCCCTTGGGGGAGAAGAGGCATTCTGGTTTTTGAAATTTTCAGCCTTTTTGTGGTGGTTTTTCTCTATTTTTGTAGATTTATCTACCTTTGGTCTCTGAAGTTGGTGACCTTTGGATGGGGTCTCTGAGTGGATGTCTTTTTTGTTGATGTTGAAAGTATTCCTTTCTGTTAGTTTTCCTTCTAACAGTCAGGCCTCTCTGCTGCAGGTCTGCTGGAGTTTTCTGGAGGTCCACTCCAGACCCTGCATACCTGGGTATCACCAGTGGAGGCTGCATAACAGCAAAGATTGCTGCCTGTTCCTTCCTCTGGTAGCTTCATCCTGGAAGAGTACCCACCAGGTGCCAGCCAGAGCTCTCCTATATGACATATCTGTCAGCCCCTACTGGGAGGTGTCTCCCAGTCAGGTTACACGAGGGTCAGGGATCCATCCACTTGAGGAGGCAGTCTGTCCCTTATCAGAGCTTGAATGCTGTGCAGGAGATCTGCTGCTCTCTTCAGAGCTGCCAGGCAGGTACGTTTAAGTCTGCTGAAGCTGTGCCCACAACCACCCTTTCCCAGGTGGGCTTTATTTATATGTCCCTGATGGGCTGTGCCTTTTTTCAGAGATGCCCTGCCCAATAAGGAGGGAATCTAGTGAGACAGTCTGCCTGCAGTGTCCTGGCTGTGCTGTGGTGGGCTCCACCTAGTTAGAACTTCCCAATGGCTTTGTTTGCACTGTAAGGTTAAAATCTACTTGAGCCTCAGCAATGGTAGAAGGCTCTCCCCTCACCAAGTTCATGTGTTCCAGGTCGAGCTCAGACTGCTGTGCTGGCTGTGAGAATTTCAAGCCAGTGGATCTTAGCTTGCTGATCTCCATGGGGGTGGGACCCGCTGAAGCAGACCACTTGGCTCCCTGACTTCAGCCCCCTTTTCAGGGAGTGAACATTTCTGTCTTGCAGGTGTTCCAAGCACCACTGGGGTTTGAAAAAATAAAACCGCTACCGCTAGCTAGCACAGTTTCTGACCAAATGGCCACTCAGTTTTGTGCTGGAAACTTAGGGCCCTGGTGGTGGTGTAGGTACCAGAGGGAATCCCTGGTTTGCAGGTTGCAAAGACCGTGGGAAAAGCCCAGTGTCTGGCCCTGGAGTGCAGGGTACAGACCCTAATGGATTCCCTTGCCTATGAGTGGGAGTTCCCTGTCCCCTTGTGCTTCCCGGGTGAGGCAATGCTCCACCCTGCTTCGACTCGCCCTCCTTGGGCTGCACCCACTGTGTGACCAGTCCCAATGAGTTGAACCAGGTTCCTCAGTTGGAAATGCAGAAATCACCCACCTTCTGCATTGATCTGCTGGGAGCTGCACACTGGAGCTGTTCCTATTTGACCATCTTGGTAGCAATCCCTCCCTATAGTTTTTAAATTGCTTCTTATTTAATTGCCTTCCTTTAAGAGTATTATTTTGTTATAATTTATATGGAAAGAAGTGAAAGGCATTTGCTTTTCCCTAGTATGTTTAATAAAAATTTATTTTGTATGGTTAATAGTTTAGAAAACTCAGGTTCTAAACTATTAATAATACAAAATAACTATATTGTAATGAGATAAATAATTGAATTTACTATTGTCAAATTTTAGAAAATCTTTATTGTCTTTTATGTATGAGTTATAATATTTCAGGGTTTTTCAGTTATAATATTTCAGATTTTTCTTGTACAGTGACTAATTTTGATCATTCATAATTTGATGACTTCATAAAGTCCATTGCTTAGCCCCTTTCAGGGTCTTTATGGATGTCTGTAGAATGAGGATTCCTGAAGCATAAACTTTGTAATCCTCAGATTAATCTGGTTTTGATCATATTATAATTATTTATTTGTTTGTCTCTACACAGGCTCAGGGCTTATTATCCTCACTTTTGACAGTCATTTGAGACTATGATGAAATATACGGGCCCTCTTGTCAGAAAAAAAAGGGCACAAAATATGTAAAATATTGAATACAATATTATAGACCTCCTGAAGCTTATTTTTACTCCTGCCACAAATTTCTGCACTAAATTGATAATTTAGTTAACGTATTATGTTTTAATTTTCTTTCTCTAGTATCTAGCACAATGTCCTGCATTTTGTATGCCCAAACACATAAAGGATTGTTTAATAAATAAAGAAATGGATGACTGTTGCCAGCCAGATTGTATGACAGGTGCAGAAATTCCCCACTTTCAAAAATTGTTGGTAAATATAATGAGCAAATATTGGGAATTTTCCTGGCCAATCTTAAAATACCAGACTCTCCAATGGTTTTTCCTTAATGACAAGAGTTTCTTTTCCCAAGACTTCTATACTATGGAGATTCTAATTTTCTCTTCTGAAAGCATTTCCTTTCCTCTTCGGTACTCTCCTGTCAGTAACTGGGAAGAGAAACATTATGCTCTCCATACCCTTAAATGATGTCAGTGTTTTATAAATCTTTTTCTTTTCTAAAAAATTATAATACAATATGAATACATTTTAGTAGCATTCATTTATAATCCAAGACACTTCACCGCCCCTCCTCTTTTTTTCTATTTTTCATTGTACACAGAGCTATACAAGGCATTATAGAAAATACCAAAATGAATGAAAATCATAAACTCTGCACTCAAGAATCTTTCAGTCTAATAAAGTTATGAGCAAAGATGAATACAATGAGAAGATAGAAAAAACTTAGAGATTAAACTAAAGTAAATCATAAAACTGATGCAACTTGACACAGAATTGTGATTATTTTTGATGTCTCCAGTTTTGACAGTCAAAGGAGACACTATCAATAGTTATTACAAAAGCAACACGCATTAACTAGTATTATTTTGGACAAATTGAGACATAGAGCCACCCTACTCTTAAGGTTTTTTACTTTTGCTTTTACTTTTTATTATAGGCATTTTCATACTGCCTGTAAAGACTGAGGTAACTATTTAAGTACCCATCCTCTAACTTTAGCTATTCTCACCACTTGGCCAATGTTGCCTTATCTATGACCCCAACTCCCCAACCCCATTTACTAAAAGCAAATCCAAAGCATTTTCTTGCTTTATCAGTCAGTTTTTCACCACTCCATTCTTTTTCTCCCCTGATTTCCTTTCTTATCCCCATTCCAACCTATCTTTTTATTTTTACTTCCAGCACTGCAGTTCTGATCTAACTTTGCCAGGACACAGATCCATAGGGTCAGCCCTGCATCCTGAGCAGCTCAGAGGGAGGAGCCAGACCAGCGGTGCCTCACACCTTGTCCTCTTCTGCTCTGGACAGATGGCTCCATAACGACAGCTTCGTAATGTTAGTAGATGGGACCCTGCTGCACATCAGGGTCACTCTTCTGCTGCTCTTGCTTGGGGTGTGTTTGTCCATTTCTGGCTATTTTCAGGATGGGCCCTCCCAGCATCTCACTTCCCCAGAATTGGTGACCCCCTTGAAGTTGATCAGCAGGGGCAGAGGTGCAAAGGCTCCTGGATGGTTGTCCTACAGCCTGCGGTTTGGGGGCCAGAGACATGTTGTTCATATGAGGGTCAAGAAGCTCTTGGTTTCTAGACACCTCCCAGTGTTCACCTACACAGAGCAGCATGACCTCCTGGAGGATCAGCCCTTCATCCCAGATGACTGTTACTATCATGGTTTTGTGGAGGGGGCCCCTGAATCGTTGGTTGTTTTCAGTGCTTGTTTTGGGGGCTTGTGAGGAGTGTTACAAATAAATGGTCTCACTCATGAAATTGAACCCATCAGGCACTCTGCCACATTTGAACACCTGATTTATAAGATAAACAGTAATGAGACACAATTCCCAGCTATGAGATGTGGCTTAACAGAGAAGGAAGTAGCATGCCAACAGTTGGAATCTGAAGAGGCTGAGAACTCAGCTCTGGAACCAAATTCTGCTGGTGACTGGTGGACCCATGCGTGGTTTCTGGAGCTGGTTGTTGTGGTGAACCATGATTTCTTACTCTCAAAGCAACATCTCAAAGGTGCAAGAGGATGTATTTCTTGTTGTCAACATAGTGGATTCCATGTATAAGCAATTAGGTACTTACATACTTTTGATTGGAATTAAAATTTGGAATCAAGGGAATATTTTCCCAATGGCAAGCATAGAACAGGTCCTGAACGATTTTGCCCAATGGAAACACGTCAGTCTTTCCCAGCTACAGCATGATGCTGCACATATGTTCATAAAAAATTCACTTATAAGTATACTTGGTCTAGCCTACATTGCAGGAATATGTCGTCCACCTATTGATTGTGGAGTTGATAATTTTCAAGGCGATACGTGGTCTCTTTTTGCCAACACTGTGGCCCATGAGTTAGGTCATACTTTGGGTATGCAGCATGATGAAGAATTCTGTTTTTGTGGGGAAAGAGGCTGCATCATGAGTACTTTCAGAGTGCCAGCAGAGAAATTCACCAATTGCAGTTACGCTGATTTTATGAAGACCTCTTTGAACCAGGGATCATGTCTGCATGATCCTCCCAGATTGGGGGAAATCTTTATGCTAAAGCGTTGCGGGAATGGTGTGGTTGAAAGAGAAGAGCAGTGTGACTGTGGATCTGTACAGCAATGTGAACAAGATGCCTGCTGTCTGTTGAACTGCACTCTGAGGCCTGGGGCTGCCTGTGCTTTTGGGCTTTGTTGCAAAGACTGCAAGTTCATGCCATCAGGGCAACTCTGTAGACAAAAGGTCAATGAATGTGACCTTCCAGAATGGTGCAATGGATCATCCCATCAGTCTCCAGAGGATAGATATGTGCAGGACGGAGTCCCCTGTAGTGACAGTGCCTACTGCTATCAAAAGAGATGTAATAACCATGACCAGCATTGCAGGGAGATTTTTGGTAAAGATGCAAAAAGTGCATCTGAGAATTGCTATAAAGAAATCAACTCTCAGGGCAACCGTTTTGGTCACTGTGGTATAAATGGCACAACATACCTAAAATGTCATATCTCTGATGTCTTTTGTGGGAGAGTTCAATGTGAGAACGTGAGAGACATTCCTATTCTCCAAGATTATTTTATTCTGCAGCACGCTCATATCAATGGTGTCACCTGGTGGGGTATTGACTATCATTTAAGGATGAACACACCTGACATTGGTGAAGTGAAAGATGGTACAGTGTGTGGCCCAGGGAAGATCTGCATCCACAAGAAGTGTGTCAGTCTATCTGTCTTGTCACACGTCTGCCTTCCTGAGACGTGCAATATGAAGGGGATCTGCAATAACAAACATCACTGCCACTGTGGCTACGGGTGGTCCCCGCCCTACTGCCTGCACAGAGGCTATGGGGGTAGTGTCGACAGTGGCCCAGCATCTGCAAAGAGAAGAGTTTTCTTGACAGTGATTATGATTCCTTCTTTGTCTGTTTTTATTTTCCTGTTTACTGTTGGTCTTCTTATGTATCTACGACAACGTTCTGGTCCCAAGGAGACTAAGGCTCATTCATCAGGTTAAGAAAATGTCTCTAACTTAATATTCCATGCATTATTACACTTCAGTCTCTTGGCAGTAGAAATGTTAGTACATCCCTGAAAGTGAGCACATTTCTGACCATTCCCAGAAAGCTGCAAAGATCTTCCCTTACGTCAGTACCACAAACATTGTCATTACGTGCAGGTGATTCTTTACATGTTTCTATCTATTGTTCTTTTTTTTTATTATTATTGTTCATTTTTTAAGCAGCAAATAAAGCTACATTCTTCCCTCACATTAGTCCTTGTTATGTTTCTTGTGCATGGAGATGACTTATAGAAAAGACATGAGGTATGTCTACATTAGAGTGTCCGGGGCAAGGCTTACCTTGCTACTGACATTTATCAATGTGGGAAAATTACTTAAATTTTCTGATGTTCTGCTTCAAAATCTTAAAGTGGGTAGGGATGATAATAATATTTGTTCCACCCAACTTTTTGGTTTATTTGGTAACCAAATAGATAAATAAGTGAATGTTTGTTAAGTATAAACAAATTGTAGTTTGTCTGATAAAAGCTCTTGACCTTGCTTCCTGTGTGCTTCCTAGCTCTTTGTCTTAATTTAGCAGTTTGGATATTTTTTTTGGAGCATTTGCTTTGCATACCAAAATATAAACTCCATGAGGGCGTGGTTATTTTTATCTGTTTTGCTTACTATTATATCCTCAATACCTGCAACAGTGCTTAGTACACAATAAATACTTAAATGAAGTAATGAATTTGAATGGAGTATTAAATAGATGAAATTCATCACAAGGCTGGGCGCAGTGGCTCACACCTGTAATCACAGCACTTTGGGAGGCCGAGGCAGGTGGATCACGAGGCCAAGAGATCGAGACCATCCTAGCCAACAAGGTGAAACCCCGTCTCTACTAAACATATAAAAATTAGCCAGGTGTGGTGGCATGTGCCTGTAGTCCCAGCTACTCGGGAGGCTAAGCCAGGAGAATTGCTTGAACCCAGGGTGTGGAGGTTGCAGTGAGCTGAGATTGTGCCACTGCATTCCAGCCTGGCGACAGAGCAAGACTGTCTCAAAAAAAGAAAAGAAAGAAATTCATCAGGAAAAGTGAAAATAATATTTTGCTACCTTGAAGATGTCATTCTCATCCTCTTTTTTAAACTACTGGATCTCTTACTCAAAATTAAACTTCGAATACTTAAAATATGTTCATTTAAAATTCTGCTGTTTGAACATGGCATACTTTTCTGGTCTTTTTCCCCCCAATTTGTCTTCTCCTCCATCTATTCTCAGTGTTTTTGGAAAGCTTGTCTCTTGAAAATACAGATTGAATCAGATAGCCTTGATTCAGTTAACTTCTGAGTGGCACTCTGTAGATTGAGTCAAATGACACTTTGAGTATCATTTTTCATTACACTTTCCAACTCTACCTATTTTATGTTTATAATATATTTGGCTGTGTCATTCTCTGTGTATTTGTACATGCCATCCTCATTCCCCAAATGTTGTTTACCACCCTCCTTCTACTCCCATACCCTGGAAAACTCCTATTTTCTCTCCATAGAGGTTAAATGTTATATGTTCGTAGAAGCATCCCTTATGAAATGGTAAGAGTTCCACTTGTGTGCCCCTGTCACTTTGTGGTCACTCCTTCATGGTTTGATGCCCTCTAGGAATAGAGGTAGAAAGGGTCCAATAATGTGCTAAGACAAAGGACATCTAGTGGAGCCATACAAGGAGGGAGGAGTGAATCAAGAATACAATCTGGTTAAATCAGAGAAAGCTCCACATTTTGTAAGTGTGCACATCCATATGGAGACAAAAGATAGCTGCTCCAGTATGTTGGTTCTTTTTTGAAATGGTTTATTATAAAAAACTGTTGAAGTTGATTACAGTAAAGTTTATCTGCCCAATGTTCTTTTATATTTGCTGAGTTTTGTATTTCTGCTTGAGATTACTTTGAAATAATCCTTTTTTTTTTCTGGAATTACTTTGGTTTCCGCTTTTATGCTTAATTGTGGAATTTATTTTGCTGTAAGGAATGAGATAGATATCTAATTGTATACTTTTCCAAATGGGCAGTGAGTTATCCTGATACAATAAATCCTTGATCACTGCTTTGGTGGTAAATTGGGATCCTGTATTGCATTTTAAAGTTAATTTGTTAGAGTCACCTTAATTTACTTGTAAATTTTTACAAGAAGCAGTGCATTTTGCAATATTCTTATTTTTGGAAAAGCCGTATATACTTTCTATTCATTGAGTTACTTAGAGCTATATCATCAATTATATCAGGATTGAAGGATATAATTAACATTTTTATAACAAGCATAGAGTCTTACCTCTTGTTTTAATGTAGATTGTCTAAAAATCAGACCCAGAGACAGGATTTAGGTCGAGTTAGTTTTTTGGGGAGGCACAAAACAGGATAGACTAATGAACGAGTTTTCTCTTTGTACTACTGGAGTCATTCCTGTGGGCTCTCTGAGAAGTCATGTGAAACACAGCTTGGAATAATACTCCACGGTTCAGGAGAAAGCTGTAAGGAAAAGAATACCTGAAATACAAACACTTGAAGTGGTAAGCTCTCAGAGCACAGAAATTGTCTGCCGTGGCTGCAAGTGAACTCAAGTGGGACAGGAAGATGTAGGGTGAGTTTTCAGCATCTACTCTACCCAGGTTCCTTAGAAAACATATGCTGAAGCAGGGATTAAATCTAAATGGTTTATTTGGAAAATGCAATCCTAGGGAAATGAGAGTAAAAGTAAAGGTTTTTGGGGCTGGAAAGTATGGTACAGCAGATGCTGGTGGTACCCACCTGTATCCTCTTAGGCTGACCCATGAGGTTATCTGTCTTGAGGTGCTGATGACAAGTCCTGTACACACTAATGGCTTTCTACTTTACGGGGGTGTGCTCAGACCATTCATGGAGTAGGCTGGAAGCAAGAAGGAGTTAATGCATCTAAAGCAATTCTCAATCGATAAGCGACGTTGTATGAATGAGCATGATAGCTTCCCCAGTCCTCATGGGACTTCTCTGTGGTGTTAGGGCCCAAGTGAGGCTGTACATTGTTAGTAGAACAGGAACTGGGTCTCGCTACTTTCTCTCCAAAAAACCCTCAAAAAACTCTCTTCTTTTCTTCACAAAGTCTTCTTTGCTCTTTGAGCATCTGTTGAAAAGGCTGACTGGAGACGGTCTCAGTCTATCCGATTCTCCCTCTGATCCTCCACCATAGACTTTCTTTCAAACTGTGTCTTAACTGTTATTAACCCTCACTGTTTTCTTAAGAGTTTAGGCACAGAACTGACATCGCTTTACTCCAGTCTTACAAACCCTGGCCATGTGAACTAACCTGTCTGACTGCTGGGCATATCAGCATCTAGATTAATGAAAATAATCTGATCCTATTTTTGTTCCTGCTGTTGCAAGTGCCTGGTGGCTCAAATCTGGAGCATGGATGCATGACAAGGTATGGCATCTATGACCAAGAAAACAATGTCACATTACTCTTTTTGGTGAGATGGGCACCTCTATAAAAGCTTGAGGACTGTCTTTTGTTTCGGTAAAGACATTAGAAAGGAATGTTTCCCTTTGTCTTGAAAGTAGAGATGATGCAGGACCTTTCATAGGTAACTTCCCAAGGCGGTGGTATAATCAAAACTTGTGATTTTTAAAAATTATTATACTAAGTTCTGGGGTACATGTGTAGAACGTGTGGGTTTGTTACATAGGTATATATGTGCCATGGTGGTTTACTGCATCCATCCCCCCATCATCTACATTAGATATTTCTCCTATTGTTACCCCTCCCCAATGCCCCAACCCCTGCTATCCCTTCCCCACCCCCTGACAGGCTCCAGTGTGTGATGTTCCTCTCCCTGTGTCCATGTGTTCTCATTGTCCAACGCCCACTTATGAGTGAGAACATGCAGTGTTTGGTTTTCTGCTCTTATGTCAGTTTGCTGAGACCAATGGAACAGAGGCCTCAGAAGTAATACCACACATCTACGACCATCTGATCATTGACAAAACTGACAAAAGCAAGCAATGGGGAAAGGATTCCCTATTTAATAAATGTTGTTGGGAAAACTGGCTAGCCATATGCAGAAAGCTGAAACTGGACCCCTTCCTTACAACTTACACAAAAATTAACTCCAGATAGATTAAAGATTTAAACATAAGACCTAATACCATAAAAACCCTAGAAGAAAACCTAGGCGATACCATTCAGGACATAGGCATAGGCAAGAACTTCATGACTAAAACGCTAAAAGCAATGGCAGCAAAAGCCATATAGGCAAATGGGATCTAATTAAACTTAAGAGCTTCTGCACAGCAAAAGAAACTATCATTAGAGTGAACTGACAACCAACAGAATGGGAAAAAATTTTTGCAATCTACCCATCTGACAAAGGGCTAATATCCAGATTTTTTATTTTTTTGAGATGGAGTCTCGCTCTGTCACCAGGCTGGAGTGCAGAGGCACGCACCACCACATCCAGCTAATGTTTGTATTTTTAGAAGCTGGTTTCACCATGTTGGCCGGGATGGTCTCGATCTCTTGACCTCATGATCTGTCTGTTTTGGCCTCCCAAACTGCTGGAATTACAGGAGTGGGCCACCAAGCCCAGCCAAACCCTGTGATTTGATTCCATAGATGGCACACATAAGCCTCTCACAAAGGTCATAAACAGTCCTTCCACTGACTCTTATGGTACAAACACTTGCCACATCACCAGATGTTATGGATGGCCCAGAAGTCAGCCCTGTGCAACTTGGATTTGCTCACTTGCTCCTCTCACTAGACTGACAGGCACCAAAGATTACATGGTGATAGCGTGGTGAATATTTCAAAAATGTGGAATAACTTGGCTCTCCTATGTCTGATATTGTACAATCTGTCTGCTTCTATGGACTGACATGGATGCATGTAGATACACAGATGCCAATAGGACAGAAGAAAAAGCACAACAAACCCCAATCTGTTGGGCCACAAATTTCACTCTGACATTATTTGTGAACCACATTTGTCCTTTTATCCCATGTGGTAATAAGGTCTATGAAGTGTTGGGGACTCAGATACCTAACGCCTTTGTCACCAGATACTCCTCCTTCAATGCCAGCCAAATTATAAACTTGGGCTCCTTTATTCATAAAGTAGTGCCATGCAAGTGTACTAGATGAGCTATAGAATATTCACTTACAGGTCACAATTCTAAGTTCTTTTCCATTCTGAGATTCATTTTTCCAGGTTTTGAAACTTATGAGATGGAAAGGGCAATTCTCAATATTTCCATAGTAAAAGAGCAGGAGTCATTACTATGCAAGCACTGAGAAGACTCCAAACTGAAGTTAACAGTTTAGCCTCTGTTGTACTTCAGAATCACCATATCCTGGACACAATGACAGCCCAACAAGGAGGAGCTTGTGCAATCATTGGTGAAGAATGCTGCTTATTTGTAAATCGCTAGGGACAAATAGAATCTTTGAAAGACAAGATAAACACTCTTCATCATGTAAATGAAGCTAAACCATTCAATTGGACTGACCTATTGCCAGGGATAGGAGACTGGTTGAATGGAGTATGGGTAAATGTGTTTAGATTTGTTCCTTTCTGCTTATTCATTCTTCTTGTAATCTGTGTTTGTCTTTCCCTTTGCAGATTCCTTGCCACTCAGCTGCTAATATAACTCTTTTCTCCACAAATACCAACTCAGCTTTTAATTTGAAACTTTGAGGAAAGTTTCAGACAGGGGAAATAAAGGAGTTAAAGGCATGCTGCTTCAAAATATGCCAAATTAGTATATTGATTATTTCAAGCTCAAAGCACTTTGAA